AAACTATTAAATATAATAGTAAATATGATGAATTTGAATATTTTTAGAGAAACCCGAATTTGCAAACGCCGATGTCTGGCATGGTGATATAAATAACTCAAAAGATGTGTTCATATAAAAGGATTTACTGTGGTGAATTGTCATCATAACTGCTGCTCATAATCTTGTCTTGTCTACATCTATCTTGCTTTCTATAAAATAAAGGTTTCAAAAAAACTTTTACTGTACAGTTTATTTTCTAGTGTGAAAAAACTAAAAATATATACATATATGATATGATTTGTAGTAAGAATACGATATTTATGTTATTTCATGTTTTGGCACCTACAAAAATTTGACTGTGCATTTTATTTTGATATATGACAGACAATATAAATCATACATAATTTGTCGTAAATTCATAGAAAAAATGTGAGAAATCATCTTGAAAATGTGTGATTTTTCAGATCGTGCAGTATTAGGGTTATTTTATGTTTTGGCATCCTACATAGTCCAGAAATCGTCTTGATATTTTTTGGCACAAAAATGACACGAAACTTTTACGGAAATTTTCATAGGGTTAAGTATTGAATTTGGTACCATACATTTTAATTTAATTAATATACACAATCACGTATAATACTTGCAACAGTTCTTTCGCGACCCCAATATATACAACCCTGTCTAATAATAATGTTACCTATAATTGTTTCGATTTGAAAATGCGATAGGATATTATTAGCAGCAAAGACAACTGCTTTTTGCAGTATTGAACTTTTGTAATACGATTTAGAATAAAAGTTCAATTTACTAATTTATATAATTGCTATAATATATATAGAAAGTAAAGTGTGTCAAAGTAATTTTTGTGTTGTTGACAGGTTTTATAAGGAACTAATACTGTAGATGATTTAATACAAATATGTCAAACATGTCAAATATGTATGTGTTACCTTCTAATTTCGTTTGGGAAATTATAATAATAAATTTTAAGTTTATAGATCAATTTAACGATTGGTAATGTACTTTTCTGGCGGATAGAAACTGCCAGCTTCAGAATTGACGGATGAAAAAGATATGTAAATATGGTCATTTCTGACATCAGGGATCAATTAAATTGTCTATCCAGTAAATGATATTTTTAAGGGAATTTCGTAATAAAGCCATGGGAATGAAAAAAATGGTTATAAAAATGCTTTGATTTTTCGATATTATCGAATTAAGGCAATTTTCTTCTCAATGGGTCTATTACAGAGCGCCGGATGAGACAGTAATATTGAATATATATATATATATATATATTATATTGTTAATAACCTTTTCATTTTCATCTTTTCTAAATCCGATTATTGTTAAATATTAACTAGTTCAAAGTTCGACCAATTTTCATTGCGTCGTACATTGTTGCAATTTTCTAAATAATTAACCCTTACCTTCCTACGAAATTAGGAGGTAACAGTAATAAGGAAGTTCAAGGAATAGAAAGAGATAGGTAAAATTACAAGAAATTCAAGTAGTACAGCCTCAACCCGCTTTCGGACTCAAACTATCTAATTCTATATATCGAAAATTTAAAACAATTATTCACGGCTGATGACGTATTAAGATAATTTATTAATTTATTAAATCTGATGTCAGAAAGCAATAAGAACTGAAATGACATATTATCCAGCAACTCCTTTGATACTTTGTAAAATAAGCTTTAAAATACGATTTAGCAAAGGTACGATATAGTCTTAGTTACTTCAATTCAATCATTATGTCGGTTGTCACAATATTAGTCTATATTTACAATAAAATTTTTTTCTGTATACCAAATTGCAAAATCTTGTGTAACATAGTTACACCTTAATTGGCAATTTTGTGATTTTACAACAAAAGGAAATTAATGAGTCAAAAGTGTAAGATTTAATTAAAGATCAAAGAAATACAAAAAGGAAAAGGAAAATCAACTAGTATTGCCTTAGCTGACGTTTTGATAGACCTCAAGAGAAGGTACCGATTGCTTCTAGACGAAAACGAAATCAAATTATATTAATTATATGATCTAAAAATCACGTAATCATTCACAAAATTAATTAATCAGTGAGATCAATTAATCAAAGACGGAATTGGCTATTTACCGATCTGGTATTTTGGTCAAATATTTTAGAAAAATTAGAAATGTTAGAAACAGAATATAACTTTCTTTCCATCAAATGACCAATCAGCTCCCAGAAAGAATTTGAATAATTAATTTCGATTTCTATTAAATAGAATTATTTATTTTTGTTTTTTTCATAATGATATTAATTTATTGACAATATACAATATACAATTGAATCTTAAGTCATAAAGTCATTCATAGAACTTTTTTTTTGCAAGAAATAGGATGTAGTTTTGAGTAAGATAAATTTTTTTTTTTTTAAAAAAATTAGTTTAATTTATTTTAAACAAGATATATTATTTGTTTAGGTGCGTGACAATATTTCAAATCTTTATTACCATTTAGAAAAATTATTTTAATCAACATTTTTTTCTCATTGGAAGCGAAGAACATTATATTTTTACGCTATGTCAATTGCGTTACACAGGCGTGTTTCTCTGTCCAAGCCAATCAAATTGTATCATTTTTACGTGAAATCAGTTTTTTTTGTTTATCTATCTCGCCAATCTTATTTTTTAAAAAAAAAAATAATAATTTTTTAACCCCGGACTAATAACAGTTTTCGTTCCCTAGTTATTAAGAATTTACGTCTAAAAATAGAAAAGAATCGCATTAACACAGCTTCATAAAAACTCTGCTCATACGGACTGAAGCTATTAAACCTGTAATATTATTTAATCAACACATCCTGAAACAGAATGAGGAAAATCAGCAAAAAAAAAAAAAAAATGAAAATAAATTGAGAAAGCACTTTCGAACTGAAAAAAAATCCTTGCCTTTAAACTTTCGAAGAGATCGTACCAAAAGACTTTTAGAACCGTTTCGGATCGTTTAACATATTAAAAGTAAAAATCTGAAAATATAAAAAAAAATCATCTGATCGTTGTAGCCCCGAAACGATTATAAAAAAAAAAAATCTTGACAAATTATTTTTTTGGTTTTCTGCGTTTTAGAAATCGCTGGAGCCCAGACATACAACGAATATTCTATGAAATTAAAAATTTTTTTAAAAGTTTTACAAGGAAAAAGCCCAGGCCTACTTGATAGTAATAAGATGATAACAATAACAATAACATCAATGATAAAATTTTTACATTTCTACATCATACCTATCGACGGTCATCATAACACGTTCAACTTTTAGCCACAACCTAATTAGACTTTGTATGAATGTTATATTTATTACTTTGCAATATAGCCTTTGTTTCCTGATTTGGTAATCCTTAGATGACAGGTATTATGCGTGGGTAAAGTTAAAAAAAGGTTCTTATTAAAGAACAAAATCTTAAAACTAAAGGTCTGCTTTTTTTTAGTAATAAAATTATTGGACTTTGCTCAATAAGTTTAATAAAATGACTAATGATGGTCAAAAAATACTGAACCAGTTGTATTTTACTTCCGCTTGTCACGTCACTCTCCTCTTGACCGTATCACGCTAATACCAATAATTTAGCGAATTCCTCGAATTTCATGATGAATTTATTCAAACGATACCATCGTTCATTTTTTAATTTAAGAGTTTAAAAATGTGATGAAAGTATAATTAATAATTTTCTCATTTAAACGGGAAATCGGAAACACAACTCCGTTCCCGAAATATTTTTGATCAGCATCGATCTTATTACGTTAACAAGCATTATCTGATCAGCTGTTATAATAATGCAATAAGTTTATACCAGAGTATTTCAATATGTCAATGCAAATAGTTTACACAGCTTCCAAGATCTTGGAATGTCCTTTTCTTGATTAAAATTTCATTTTATTTAAACAATATTATATATGTAATTAATTGTATAAAGCGAGTTATGAGAAATAACCTTCATAATTAGTAACTTGATTTGAAACAAAATCTAAATAAAAAAGAATGATTACATTAATTCCGTTAAAAATGAAAAAAATTCATTGTGTCACTCATATAATTTGGCTGTGCTTGATTTAAACGTTACGCCGTTGACGATTCTGTCAGCTGGATAATTCTGGAAATTCTGAAATTTCTGCCCTTTACTGCCAAATCTGGACGATATGTCATTTGATATACTTTTATGGAAATACCGTAATTAATCTTTTGGATAGATTTCGTTTCAAGAAGCAAAAAATAAAATTAGATAGTTCTCTTCTCCTTAGGAGCGCCGGATGAGAAGTGGAATTTTGTATTTTTATTGAATAATAATACCTTGATCATTTTATGGACCGGCCTAAAAATCCTTAAACAAATTAATAATCGGTTAAAATATTCTTTAAACGGTAATAAACAGGTTAAATTTAACCGTTCTCTCTATTATATTTTCTTTTAAATTTCAAATGATCTATATTTTCCAATTTCGGTTAGAAAGTATTTTTAAACAATTGCATGCATCATTTTTTATGAATGGTATTGTCACTTTGCAAATGGATTGCTTATTATCGAATCATGATTGACAACAAAATTATTACCTATTTTGGATGTAAATTGATTTGCCACGCACAGACATTTATTGTGAATTCCAATTCAATTCAGATCTGCATATCGCATTTTTTAATTTAGGATTTTCATTTATTTTTGTTTTTCGATTGCCACAAGTATTTTTTAGATCTTTTATTATTATGGATTCCATTTCTGATTCATGTGGCGTCAAAGTGTAAAGTTTTTCTGATCATTCAAAGTGAAATTTATTTTTTTATGAAACACAAATACTTTCTTTAAGGAGTTGTAATTCCGAACGATACATGTAAAACATCTCGACTTTTTATGGCCTTTAAATAAGATTATTACGTTCCACAAAGTCGTGATTTACAAACGATTTGAAATGAATAAAAATCGCCACTTTTTTTCATTTCCTCTCGACAATTGTCACTTGAATTTCTTGTCATAAAAAAAAGATTTTAAACTAAACAAATGTCTTCTGAACCTCCTTGCAAAAACGATAATCTGAATAGATTTTATCTAGCAATTAGTCGAGATGGAAGATATTCTGCAACGTTCGATGCGGGTAAGCGTTATTTAGAATAATGGTTAATTTATTTTTTTAAAAAAATTTTTTTTTCATACTTTTTTATTATAAATTTAGCAACCCGTCACGTTAAAATTTTAAAAACTATCGATCATCAAGAACAGAATAATATTGTTGCTCACTTTAAAATAAAGGATGAAGATTTATCTATCCAAAAATTTTACGATAATCTTCCGCCATCCCAAAATCTGAATGTTATTGTCAAAGATAGATGGTCGATCGACATATCCAATGACGGAAATTTTATATTTATAGCAGTTTCTATATTACAAGACGAAGATATTAATGAGAACAGTACAATGGTTGCAAAAAATCTCGCTGATAATAATAGAGAATATTGTATAACATTTAGTTCGGAAAATTCAAAGTTAGCAGATTTTAAAACCGCTATTTATTGTCTTAAATTAAATGAAGACGACGTTAATAAAGTTGATTATAGCTTTATTAAATATAATTATAATAGATTATCAGGAATTTGTAGATTTGCGGAAGAGAAAATGGATAATGTTTATCCTCAAGGCCAAGTACAAGCCAATTTGATGCAGACTCAAGTGTATAATAATGTAGGATCGTCACCATCTACTTCTACTACTTCTGTAACGCAAGTGGAAGGAACTCAAGCAACTCTCGACGCTCGTATTAAACCAGATTATAATTTAAAAAAATTTATTTTATTGAACTATAATAGTATATATAGCTTTAAATATAATTTGAAACATACAACTTTTAGCGAAGTAGAGAAATTTAATTATCCAGATGAGGTTAAGAAGCAATTAGAAGAATATAAAAAAAATACACAGGATCGCACAAGTCTACTCTTGTCACATATTTATAAAAAATATTTTATTATTAAAGACAACAAAGATAGCAGCAAAAATTTTCAAGACAACTCAAGATTTCAAGATAACAGTAAAAAAGTTCTTGAAGGTAAATAAATTTACTACCTTTATATATTTTTTTATAAATAAATATTAACAAACTTATTTTACAGTTTATGATCTAGGAAAAATGAGATTGGAAACTAGTATAAAGATCGGTGATGACGACACAAACCTTGACGACAAAGTTTACTCGATCGATAAACAAGAATTACAATTTTGTATTGCTACAGGACCTCAATCTATTGGGTGAGTTTTCATACGATAAGTCACGTGATATCGATATTTCCTTATATAATTTGTTAACGTAACTTTTAATAGGATATTCCTTATGGAACATGGATCGAAAATTGCATCCAAATCATTTGAAGAATTCGATATACGTAAAATCCATTTAATTGAATTCATCAACAGCGATGAGAAATTATTTTTGATTGTCAGTGATTCTACAAAGGATCTAA